GAAGGTGGGAGAGCTCAGACCTGGTTTTTCTAGCTTAATTAACCTTGCTAGGGAACACAACTCAAAATAGATGCTGTTTGTCTTAATAAAAAAGAAGATAAAATCTCAAGAGTTGTTTTGCACTATGTCTTTCATCAAATCCGGAAAACTCATGAAAAGCCCGTGACAAGGTCTCTTCTGATAAATTGCTGCTAATACTTTTGGTACTACCATTGTGCTAGAGACAATTAACTATAAAACTTCTTCCAGCTTAAATGTGATGCTGGGAATTTAGACAGTATGTTAGAAATGGATTTAAATGAAATATTTTATGAAAACAGTGTAAATCATCTTCTATTTTCAGTGAACTACTAGCACTTCTTTCCATGTAAGTTACCCAAAATCTTTGTAAGGAGATTTAGATATACAGTAGAACCTTTTCTGACTTGTGATAAATGAGAAGCCCAGAAAAAAGGATTGGAAATAATACAGTAGCATTTCCTATGGCAGCCATTAAAGCTTTGTGGATTGTCCATTCAGTTTTGTCAGTTTTATTAAGAGAAACTCCTACATCTTGTGAGTCAGTGCACACTTTTTGAAAATCGTTATGTATGTTTTTTGTGTGTTTCTTTCAGCTCCTGTTTGTGATTATTTTTTGAAGAAGGATTCTTCCTAAATAATGAACAAACAATCAGTTCAGTGCTTCAGCATGCAAGGAGGAGATGAAGCAGGAATGACTGTTCATCATTCCACGTTCCTGGCTACACCCAGATTGATAACAAGACTTGTCTCAGACTCCAGAATTTTCCCTTAGGAGAGAAAAACAGCTGACTGTTTGTGGAAATAGCATTCAAGCTCTGACATGAGGTTTCTACTCCATGGAGCTTTTGCTGCCAAGTCTCAGGGTTTCCTTTGTGTTCTATATCACATCTTGTACCAGATAGCCTTTAAATTGTGGTTATGGCTCATAAGATAGAAGTTTTGAATTGTGTCTATATTATGTATACAGGGCCCAGATTTCTCTTTCCAGTTAGACATTTCGGCTTCCCCTGAGCATGATGAAGTTCTCTACTAGATGGTGGACACAGTTCATACAACATGACTACAGTTAACGCATGAGGTTAAAATGATGACTGATTATAGACACTTGTGCAATGTTGGCAAGAAGCCATAAATATTCTCAGTCTGTGAATAAAGTCAATCATTTTGTTTGTTTAATTTATAATTTATTCTCCAATTAGTTGACAATTTATTCCAGTTTTTTTCTTGTATTATGTTTTTCCTCACATTTATTTACATTTCATAAGTTGATATTCTAAAAACTTGTGTTTCCAAGACTCAGCCCTTTCGTAGTAATTGTCACTTTAGATGATGGTGAACAAAGGTGCTTCAGCATTTACCATTGTAGCTTCATTCACACTCTAAATGCTTTTCATTTATTTATCAGCAATTCAACTTTTGAAAGATTTGTAAAGCAAACAGACAAATCTGTCATTGCAATTTGATCTTTTTCTGTATTCAGGTGTTTTGCTTGCTTTACTTCTTATATGTCCTATGCATGTCATAATTTTTAAGTGGGTATTTCAGGACTCATGTGTATGGCAGTTGGCCAGAGTTAGTGGAGAAGTGACAAAATTACAGTGAATGAGGCAGTGATGGAAAATACGTAGCAATACATCATGTATGCACGCAGGACTGTTTTCAGGGGGGGGGTTTTGCCTTTTTTATGGGAGAAATCTTTTTGGTCTTTTGATTTTTGGTTTTTGAACTGTGTGCCTAAAATTTCTCCACTTGCTTTTTTATTTGCTTTTATTTTTATTTTTACCAAGATGGCTTTCTAGCTTCATTTCTGAGGTTTACTTGTGGCTCTGCATTTCTCAGCTACTCCATCTTGTCAAGGAGCTGTGCTGTTTATTTTGAAGTTCACAGAGAAAGTAATGGTTTTTTTTATCCATACATGTGGATTTTTGTCATGTTAGTGGACAAGATAAGGAGAAGTAGTTCAACTTTAATGCTGGTTAAATAGCAGATGTCTGCTAAGAGTAACAGATTTTGAGTGCTACTAAACTCCATTTTGTTTTCTCCTATTTTGCTTCAAGGCTTCTAAATAAAATGATTCCCATTGTGCTCCAGGTACTCTCACACCTAGAAAAAAAACTAATTAGGGAATTTAAAATTGGAATTCCAATCTCTCCAATTATTTCAGTAATACTGAACATATATGTCTTACACTGACATGTCACAAGACCCAAGAAATTGTATGAATTTGGAGCCTTTGCACTGAAAGGGGAAAGGGGGTTTACAGACAGATACTAATAAGATATATGAGATGAAAAATTGCCTTTGGTGTTGTTGTTTTTCAAGTACTCTGACTGAAGGTCATTTTCTTGGTATATCCTTGCTGGAACTGAAAATAAAGACCAGCTTGTTAAATGCCACCCAGGAAAAATCCTTAAGTCCCCCAGATATGCCTTGCTTAATAAAGTAGCCGTGACTCTGTGATCCTTGCCATCTGATCCAGGATTGTACTTTCATGATGTTAAGACAAGTCTGTGGATATGTTCTACCTTCAAGCCAAATATCATCTCAAGTGTTTCATATTTTTGGGGGGTTGTTTTATTCTTGTTCATCCACAGGAATAAATGGAAGTTAAATATCAGCAGTTCCAAATGTTTACCTGTTCAGAATCAATTGTCAGCATAAGATTAAGTCTGTCTTACCTATAAAATGCATTCTAGAATGGAAGGTAGAATCTCTCCATCTCAGTAATTATGATACTGTTGCATTGTCTTTGAGCTCATTGAACAAGATGCCACATTAAAGAAAATAAAGTGCATCTTATGTAGGGTGTAGCAATCTTTGAGACGTCCGACAATTTTCTTCAGTTTGTCCTCTTTCTTAATTTTGATCAAAATTGTTAATATATGTTTTAGAGATATTTTGTACCAGAAACATTTTGTTTTTGCAGAAAGGAAGTGCGATAGTGAAAGGTATAAAATGAGATGTTTTGTTCTTTATTGTAAACGTGGTTCTATAAATAATTAAGTCTAAAACTTTTGTTGAAGACTGCCGAGTTCATATTAGAATGTACTGTTACGTAAGAGGCTGATATTTAAGCAAGGAAATGAAATTAATCCTAGGCATTGAAAATGCAGAAATGGCATATGGAAATCAAAATCTAACTCAGTTTTCAAAAACAATAGTATGTATTGCTGGAAAAAAAATGCATCCACCTGCATTTATTTTTAAGGAGCATCAGAAGCAATGGTAGTGCAGAAAATGATTACAGATGATTAAATTTATGTGTTGTCGTTTATTTATAAATATTTCACTTCAAAATTATATAGGTTATTGCAGAAATCAAGAGATATCTCTTGTCCACAAAAGTTAAAACACAGTAAAGTATGTCCTTGGGACAGTTACTTGCCTCACTTTTAACTTGTTATATATATCAAGGAGATCTTAAAAGAAAAATTAGAAGGCTAAAAGCTAAGCAATGAGTGGGAAGTACCCTCTTATCTGAATTTCAGTTTCCCTGCCACAGGCTCTTAGCCAAAAAGTTGATATGATAGATTGATACCACCCCAGCTGCTGTATCTGGAATTTTTCATGTTTCATAAAAATGTTCCTTATTAGCAATTAGAACAGCATGATAGAAAGTGAACAGTAATAAGGTTGTGCTAGAGAGAGGCCTAGCTAGGGTTTAACAGAAATAAAGGAGAGCAATATGCAATTCAGTATCACATTCTGAACTGGCAAACTCCAATTGCCCACTTGTCTTGATTGCAGCAAAAAAGAAAAAGAGTGCTGAAACAGTGGTTTTCTGATTCCCTGCATAAGGGCCTCAATGTGGTTTGGAAGCCAAATGTATTCTTCCTCATCTTGAGGAATATCTGTTATGCTTTCATTGATTGATTGATTGATTGATTATGTGCCATCAAATAAGTATGACTCTTAGCATTCCACATAGATTTTCTCTATAAGACTTTGTCTGTAACCTAGTCCTTCAGGTCTTCCAACAGTTTTCTTTCAGTAGCAATCCAAGCAAAAACCTTCCAATGTAATTAAAACCCCAAAATAGTGATGGTGGTGGCGGGGGAAGCAGGGGATAAAACATCTTTGTTATTGTCCTGATCTGCATGAGGTGACTACTTCCATGCTGCAGGAGAATTAGAACAGCGCCACAGTGATGGAGCAAAGAGAAGAAGTCTCTTACCACCCTATACCTGCTTCCTCATTCATCCTGTCTACTACCTTTGTAGTTAATTATTTAAAAATTATCAACCCAATGTCTAAATATGTGAAACTACAAGTAAGCAATAGGGAGAATGTGTCAGCAGTCAGGTTGACAAAAGTAGTGCTTTTTGGATATATCTGAATCCATTGTTGAAGCAACAGAAACAACTGTTATTTTAAAAGTGTGGGGTCTTCAGTTGTTAGGACCTTAGGAGACCAGAGAGCCTTTTCACTGTGATACTTATGTTAACATCTATTCATAACAACGGAAATCAATCCTTCACCCTGCTACATATCTCTCAAGAGTTATCTAGATTGGTCAATCTCCTTGCTTTTCTGGAAAAATTAATAATAAAATAGTCACGTCCGCAAGTTAGTCCCTTGGGAACATAAATGGCAAATGGAGTGATTTTTTTCCATTTTTAAAAAAGTGGGGCTAGTTCAAAATAATATAAGTACTTCTTGTAGGTTTAACACATCTTTAAAAGCAATTTAGGAAAAGTAAAACATTAATCCAACACCACCAAATGAAGAGTGAACAACAACTGACCCAAATGGTCCCATTGCCTTGTGCAAATCTCATTTCAGCATTGCCATTTCCTCCATGACTCTCAGTCACTGAAAATGGGGTTTTAATCAAGGGTGGCTTCTTGCTGCAATAAGTGCTATAAACTGACCTATGTGGGTTCTTCTACAGCTGTAGAAATATCTCTTCCTTTTCATAGGGAAACAACTTTCTTGAACATAAAATTCTAATATCCAAAAGAAAAATATTTATTTTTTTTACAATATTGAGATTAACATTTTGTATAAAATTTTGGCAGGTGTGGCCTAGGCTAAGTCCTTGTACAAGATGGGCAGATTTTTTTTAAAGATCTCAACCGCCACAACAGCCTCAAGATTACCAAAGAACAGGGTTGGGATAGAAGGACAAAGCCAATCTCTGTGGCAGAAGCCCTCCAGCAGGTGTTCCAGGAGGAAAGAGAAAATGGAGAAGAGTTTGTGAGAAAGATTCCTATTTGGACCACAAATTTCCTGTGCTCACTCGTCTGCGGAATAATTACTTCCATTATGGTATGGGTGCTAATAAAATATGTTCTGTTAAAAGGAAACCAATCATCCTCCTGTGAAAAAGGTTGACCTCGATGAAACAATGAGTGATGGGCAAAGAGATCTAGTTTTCCTATATGCTCTGCATGCTCCAGCTCTGTTCATGATTTCCTCCTTGGAAAAATCCCTTATTTGGTGATCTTTATCCGTTAAAAATCTAGCTTGTATTGTGTCCATTTCCTCAAATATCCATAAATGGAGGAAAAAACCTTCATGAGGAAACAAGGTGATAAAGTCAGGAAGGCAGAAATGGGTTTAGGCTTGAGTTTTACTCTGGGATCAAGGATAGTGGTTGCAGTTTCTGAGCTGTGAATTGCATTGGGTCCTTTTCAGCTGCATTTGCAAGATTTCACAACCATGTTAGACAGCTGTTCCACTTTTGGGGTCCTTCCAACATAATACAAGATAGTCAGGGGATCCAGATCCTGGGGAACACAACAGGGGGAAGCAGATGCTTCAGGATTCAGAGTATTGTATAAACCAAGAACCTGGAAAAACAACCAAAAATATATGAGGATCTTAGCTAGCACTTGCCAGTTGCTAGAATTAACGTTAGGCAGATAACATATTTCAAAAAATCCAACATTTATAGCTGCTACCTCTGCTCAACCACTGGGTAAATATATAGAACAATTTACTGATCAAATGATTTTTCATCTGGAGCAGCTAAGTAAGTTGTATAACACCCAAACCTCTGTCCAAGCAAATGTAGTTCTTTAGCATATTCCTCTCTTTAAAAATAAATAAGTAAACTGGGTGTAACCGTCTTATAGTCTTGCTAAGAGTTTAAAAAAAAAACAGCTGAAAAAAATCAACTTACTTTGGCCAGCATTTCCAAATCATACTGGATTTAATCCAGTCCTTCTCAAGTATCAACATTCACCTCCCAACTGTTTCAGTCCTTTACAAGTCCAAGTGAGATACTTGCTTTGCTCCATTCTACATATTGCTATAGAGAAAATCAGAAGACAACCGAGGAAAACTAGTATTTATCTATTTTTCAAGGTCAGGGTGTGTACTATGTCCAGATACTGCAAGTCTATTCCTTCCATCAGTCTTCTTCAAGGCCCATTAAATTATACTATCAATTCCTCTCCTCTCAAACAAAATACTGTATACAGAAAATAATTATGAAGATACAGTTTGTAAGTTCCAAATTTTCTAGGCTGAGATAGACTGCTGTTTGCTACTAGAACTGCCATGTAGAAGAAGAATGGCTCCTTAGAAAGCTACTCCATTTAACAAAAGACACTGACACAATATACTACTAAGCCATTATATGTTTGGTTCTTAGTGTGTTTTTATGAATCCAGACACAGAATTGTATGTTTTACAATTTATCATTTTCTGTGAACATTGTCAATTATAGCTTATGAGGTTAAAAAACTGATTTAGTATAATTTCTAAACTGAATTATGGTTTTCTTAGCATGCAGATTTTAAAATATGCACACCAAATGCTAAACAGATAACTATTGTTTAGAATCGTGCACTGCTAAGAAATATACAATCAGTTCCTCTACATTCACAATAATTGCAACATATACAACACTCTGATGTAACAACTACTACAGTGCTTCATTGGGTGTTTCCTATTCATGCTGGTAGTTGTCTTCTGTCATGGAAATTCTCTACAGCCAAACCTAATCGTTATTAAAGTACTTTGCCATATAAAAACTTACAACAGGCATTAACAACCACAATGGTTTAACTATTGACCTACATAACTGTTGCTGGGGGGGGTCCTTTTCAGTGGACCATTATTACATTTATTTTATAGAAAAGAACTAATATTTTTATTGGCCCAAGGCCCAGAAAATGGGTAGAAAGCAAACAAGTAAGGTGACCAACTTTTTTACAATGAGAAGGAGGACACAAATAAATTGAAGGAAAAAAAGTGAGTCTAATGCGTGCGTGTGTGCTGTGTCGTGTTTCGGTAAGAAGTAAACAAAGCCACTTGCGTGCGATGCACTCTTGTGCGCAGCGCACTCTCTCAAAACAATTCTCCTGTGCAGAGCACATGCGTCTCATAATCGCGTCTCGCCGCACTGTACCGAGCCTTGACGAATCGTCATGTCAAATACAAATACGTCACATCACACGCAACAGATCGGATCGGCATCGATCGAATACGGAGATTTACAGATTAGTCTTCAAATATCGAAAAGGAGGACATGTAAGAGGACACTTTTCGAGAGAGGACTGTCCTCCCTAAAGAAGGACTGTCCTCCCTAAAGGAGGACGATTGGTCACCTTAAAACAAGGTATAGAACTCAGGGCTTGGTCTAATTTTTGCTCATCAGAAGTTTTGGGGCAGAATGCTTCTTAATAGAAAGCCACTTCATACTACACTAAAATTTGACGTAGAGAGAGGAGAGAAAAAAAAGACAAATACTGTGCCTTAGGAGATGGAGTTAACCTCTTGGAGTAAAATTATAAATGTAATCCTATACCAGTCATCACCAGATACTTGGTTTAAACAAAATGTGCCCCGTGATAGCTGCAAACTATCTCTCCCTGATTTCCTTTTCAGTTGGAGCATTTTCAGAGGGGGAATGAAGAGTTTATTAAGGAGTTCTTTCTCTAGGTTCTTCCAATGCAATTATCATCACACTAGGCCCCACACATCGGAGCTGTCAGAAAGCTAACCATGGATGGGGAGAGGGAGGAGGATCATTAGGTGTACTTGCAACTAACCTTCAGTGAGTAGTGACTGTCCTATTAGTGCCTCCAGAATAAGATTGATTTTAGAGTTGGGGAATGCTATTTTTACTCCATTCCTTTGTGTACAACAAATTAAAAACACACGAAACATTTCAGGTTTCTATACGCTGTTTCCTTTGACCCAAACTTCATTCTACATCTTAATTCCATTTTGAATAATGTCTCCCTTTACACAGTCTCATAAAAGCCATGATCAGGATTTCACACTTTTTTTTTTTTTGAAGAAAGTAAAAACCAGACACCAAGTAGAACTGGAGAGAGGAAGGCCACAGTATTTGGAGAGAAGGAATGTTATATTCTTTATGCCATTTTCAAATCTAAAATACTCCCCCGTCAAAGCAACTATTTTATTTCTTGTAAGGAAAAGTCGGACATAGCAGAATGGCTGCCTCTTTCAGCAACCAGGGATTTTTAAGTGTGTCTTGACTAAATATATTTGCCCATGCTTACGAGCATTCATAGTTAAAAAGGGGAAATCATTCTGGGAGCAATCCAAAACGTTCCAGCATGTTTTATTTGGGAAGTCGAGTGGAGACATGCTCAGAATTTTGAGACCATGTTGTGGATTGTTTCGCAAAATGATTGCCATGGGAGAAAGACTTCTTTATTCACAAAATAGCCATGGTAGCCAGCCCCAAAATGCCAATTCATCCGAAGATGAAGATGGAAGGTATGGCAGAGGTGAAATGCCTCTGGTTTTGTTTGCTTTTGTTTCTGGGCACTTAAGCAGGCTTCCGAGGAAAGCGCTTTCTGCCCCATTTTTATTTTCTGAGAATGATAGTAGTCTTCTTCAAACAGGTAATTTTCTGATCTTAAACTTTAAGTTTCATAATTCTTCAACCAGCATAACCATGGCTGATGGTCCAGGAAGTTGTAGTCTACAAAACCTGAGAGTATTAAGGCTGGGGAAAACTGATCTGTAGATCTTAGGTAGTATTCAGAACTGCTCTTGTAAATAAAAATCATGCTAGACACCAATGTTTTCAGGATGCCATCTTCTTGTTTACTCAAAAGGTTTCTTTTTAAAAGGAGGTGAGGTTTCTATGTGCTTCAATAACTTTATCTACAAATTTTCTGTCTCTCTCTGCCCCTATTTACTCAAGTTCCACTGAGTTTAATAAGAACCTAGGAAACTAGGTGCAAGACTGCAGCCTCAATAAATGACAAAAACTCATAAAAAATAACCATCCATGAGAGGGATTGTAGAGATAGGGAGAAGATGGCCTAACTTGTAAGTTCCTTGACCATATTAAAACACTGATTACCGTGCTGTGTGTGGTATCTGCACTACGAAGGTAGGGGCATGGCCCGGAGCAAAAGTTAGCGTAGTACCCCTTCGGCTCATGCACCCATTTCCAGCCCAGATCTTGACGAAAATCAATGTAGAGACGACGTACACAGCAGTTCTCCTCCAGATTCCTAGAACAAAAGGAAGCTGATATTAAATGCACTCAAATCATTTATTCAAATTCAATAATGTATTAAATTCAAGAGCAGCACTTCCCTGGAAAAATATGAATGTAATTTGGAGGTCCTAATCGTGAATTCTCAGCTCCTGCTCAAAGACCAGGCAGCAGATGTAGCCAAGAGAGCCTTTGCACAAATCCATCCCTGGATCAGAAGGCCTGGCTGACGGTCACTCATTCTTTGTTACCTACTCTCTGGATTACTGAAATGTGCTCTTCATGAAGATGCCCTTAAGGACCACTCGGAAGCTGCAACTTTTCTGGAATGCAGCAGGATGGTAGTTGGAGTCCCACCTCAGTATGCTCATGTAAGCTCCATAAGTAGTATTGGCTCCCAGTAAACTGCCAGGTGCCATTCAAGGTTTTTTATCACCTATAAAGCCTTTCTTGGCATAGAGCTCTCCAATTATTTCTGCCACAAGATCCAAGAGGATGAGCATGCTTTTAAGTTCCTTCTATTAAAAGGCCTCCATTTTCTGTCACTGTACCGGCCACGTGAAGCACCATGTTCGCCAACATCTAGATGGTCCTCATCTTTCTGGCCTTTCATAAAACATTCAAGACCTCCCATTTCTCATACTCTGTGGCCAAGGACATGGGGGAAGCCTATTTGTAAAAGGGTTTAATTCTGCAGATATGTGAGTGGAGATTATGTATTTTTGTTTTTTGTTTTGCTGTTTTTGGTCTTTTGCTTTAAAGAAATGTGGGCACCTGCATTAACACTGAGTTATACAACCTAAACTGACTGACTCACTCACTCACTCACTCATAACAGAGAGTTTGGCAACCACCATCATGGAACATACCTATATGCACAAGAAGATAATCCAGAAAAAAATGTGTCAGTGCCTGGTTAAGGTCTGAAGTTTTTTTTTTTAATTGAGCAAAATTGCAAGAAGGAGAAAATAGCAAATATACTAGGCCCTCTTCCTCTCCAGTTTTTGTTACTATGAAAGTTCATTAATGACAGAGATGAAGAAGAGGATGAAAATCAGCCTGAAAAGAAAGGGCTGCTTCTTTTAATTGGGGGGGGGGGAGAGGGAAGCTGCTATAAATATTTCAAAGCAGTCATAGTGATTAGCTATAGCTTTGTAGAGAAAACAAACCTTGGGGCTGCCCTACATAAGTGACAGAAGATTCAGGGGCATATTACTTTTTTTTAGCTGAATAGCAGGTTTTCCAAGCTAGTATTGTTGTTAACCGACTATGATACCCTTATAGTTGGTGCTATGATGAGTAAATAAATACATGATTCCCGAATGCCGCTGAACAGAGTAAGGGAATTATGAACAATGGATGAAAAAAGTTTCTCAGCTCCACTTGTGTTATACCTCTTCATATTACATTCTAAAAGACAGTTTGGGAAGAAGTAGAAGATGAAAAGGGTTGAGTCTATAGATAATCCTTTAATCCATGCAGCTCATCTGTTTCCCTGACTCCATGCTTTGGACACCTGCTCTAACAACAATCTGAGACTTCAATAAAGCAGGCCTGCATCTATCAAGCTAAATGTAGCCCACCAATTATGTGAAAGAACTCGCACAAAAAGTTCAGCTTATTCTGAATCTTACTGAACCTATTTGCTTCCTGATATCACTGGGAATGCGTCATTTAAAACAGGAGTGTCAAACTGCTGGCCCGCGGGCCGGATGCATCATCCAGAAGCCGTGCCCACCCCATTGCCAGCAGTGGCAAAACCGTCCTAATACGTTGTGCGACGTCACGTGACGTCGCAAGTTTGACATGTCTCATTTAAAAGAATATTTCTCTCCTTTCTATCAATGTCTCCATGATTCTTAGTTTCTTGCACCTAGTATGGTTGTAATCCAGACAATGCATATCAGGTTTGGGCTACAAAGAAATATACTTTTCCAAGTGCTGATGACACCTGCCTCATATCTATAGCAAGATGGAGTAGCTTGGAGTTTTTGCTTCCTCTGGTTCTGGAAGGATGTCATCTTCAACTCTTGATGGGTTAGCACTCCCCCAAATAGAGCAGATGTGCAATTTGGGATGGCCTCCTGGACCTGCAACTCCTGCTTGAGGAAGGTGACAGCCATGGGTGGGGTTGGGGAGCTTTTATATAGATCAATCTTGGTCCCATTCCTTGACCTTAATTGTAGTCACTCATGCCTTGGTTAGTCCCCAGCTTGATTACTACAGAGCACTCTACATAGGGCTTCCTTGAAAACTGGATATTGCAATTGGTTCAGAATGCAGTGGTGTTTGAGGCACCACTCACTTTGCCCATATTAGACCACTGTTGTGCAAGTTGTTCTAGCTTCCAGTTTCTTTCTGGATAAATGTCAAGGTGATTGTCACCTCTAAAGCCCTATATGGCATGAGGCCAAGTTATCTCTCCAAGGATATTTACCTGCTGCACCAGGCTGGATTGGGTGGGCATTTTACAGATCCTTTCTCTCAAATGTTGTCATCTAACAGGACCCAGGAAGCATGCCTTCTCAATAGAGGAACCCACCTCTCCCTGAGATGTCTCAGGCCCCACCTGTTTGACCTTCCAGAAGATCTTAAACAGATGGCTTTTCCTCCAGGCATTGGGATACGGTAAGGCTAGACCCTAATGGTAGGTGTGTGTGGGGGGGTGGGGTTAGATATTGTTTTTAATTGTTTTGTTTTCCACTACAGTGAATCAAATAAACAAACATGCAAAAGAAAGAGAGAATTTGCCTTCTCTTTTTCTAAAGGGATGACCTGACTCTTCCTCCTCAATTTCCCTTCTCTCAGCCAGAGAATAGGTTTCTGATACTAATTTCACATTTAAAGTGAGGATTAATAGATTGCAAAGATTTATAGCTGATAAGGGATTATAGTTCTCAGAGACAGTACTTAACGAGTGTGGTTAATCAATTGGACTTAACTATAAACTTCAAAATTATCCAAAGTCATCCCAATGTTGCTTTCAAGAGCATTTTTTTGCCAGAGAGATGGTTAATCTCTAGGGGGAGGTAGGTTCAGGAATCTTAGCTTACCGAAAGCAATAACTGGTGTCCAGTGCTCGTTTCTTTCTCTGGCTTCTCACAGCTGGACTCCCAAGACGATGTGGCGGCAGCATCATCAATATCAGGTGGGGGTTTTGCAGATCTTTTTGCTTCTTCAGGCTCCCCAAGTCCCCACGACCATGGCTTTCTTCACCGTCTATCCCTGAGAAGTGTGGGCAAAAGGGAGAGATCAAATCTCATAGTTGCTTTAGAACTGCATTAGGAAATCTTGGAATCCATAAAACTATCTTTTTTAAGGACTGTGGCTTTACCAGCATAAATAAATCTGACAGAAAATCCTGAAGGCCATTTGTTTTATAATTTGCAGACTGATAATGGAGATCATTTTAATCTATCCCTTGATATTGCGGTCAGTTCCTGACTAGGCCAAAAGAGATAAATTACTTAATGATGGATGACATCTGATAACTGGAACTGAACAACAGAAAAAAAATGTCTGAGATACAAAATTCATGATTACTATTCACAGGGCAAGGCCCAAAGCCAAGCACTTGCTAATACTGAGATTACAAGTTGTTGGCTCCCTATGGTACTACAAACCATTGCTAATCTCTGTGCCCACACATTGCACAGCAGAGATGAGTTTTGAAGGGATGGATGTAAACAGATTTACAAAATTGTATATTTAACTCAGTAACACGGGTAATATCTATAATACCTAGCAGTTTTATGCCAGTTCAACCATCATAGGTTACCCCCAATGTTTTGTGAAAACACTGAGAATTCTATTAAGAGATGCCAGTTCGAAACACAAAGCTTAGAGATCTTGAAAAGAGGATTGCTGTTAAGGTCATCTGTAAGGATACAAGTGCACTATCTATCTATCTATCTATCTATCTATCTATCTATCTATCTATCTATCTATCTATCTATCATCTATAATGTAAATAAACAAATATCTGACAATTGCTCATAGAGAAGCACATACACACACACACACACACTGTTATGTAATGTAATATGATTAGACCATGAATGCAATAACAATATTCAAATTTAGGTGAGTTATTTTACTTTCCCCTCCAGTTTCATTTCTGTCACCTTTGAATTTGATCTCCAGCACCTCATGCAGATTCTCCAGAATGTCACCATTGGATTGAAAAGTGTTACATGGGCAATGGACACTAATCTCCAGTCCCAGATTAGATTCTGTAAGAAAATGAATTTTTAAAAAACCCTTACCAATCAATATTCTTGAAAGCAAATAATGATTCAGCAATTTCCATTTTCCCCCCATTAATTAAATTTGTTAAGAGTGGAGGTCCTGAACTCATGTTCTCTCAGGATTACAAAAGACTGGAAGGAGAGACTGAACGATATATGTGCAAATCATACCAGATTCTGACCAGTAGTAGCTCCATATTGAATTTTCTGTCCTGTTCTGGATTGCTAATCTGAAATTATCTTAACCTTCAACAAAAACAAGTTGTATATAATGTATTATGATGATGTTTGGGTGCAGACGAAGAATGACCAGTGGATAGGCTGGACTGACCTATCAACTTTTGACAGGAATCTTAATGGGTTTTGCCATAATAGTTTGAACCTTAAGTATAAGATAGTTTTGAGTTCCTCAAAGAAATTAGCACGTCCTCATTATTTTATTATAGGGCTATTGGTTAAAAAAAAGGATTTGCCTGAATGATGTGAATAAAATTCTAGAGATCAGTGACACCCAATTTCAAGATTTCCATACCTTAATTGTTTGGATGGAGCAATACCACAGAAATCAGTAAATCTTTCTTCCAAATAAATAGAGAGGTGGCTGTTGTATTTTTATTCAATACTGTACCTTTTCCCAACCACATTCTATAAATAAAACAATTAAGTAACTTTCCTGTTGGGGGTCTAAACCACTAAACCCAAAATCCAGCAAGAAAAGACCTTCTGTGCTACAATTAGGATTTATATGGGAAATGAATATTCCAAGTTTACATATAATATTTGGACACTGCTTTGCATTTAACTGTCATGGAATCTGAACATTCTTGGCAGAATTATTGGAGATAGGAAACATGAGAGTAACAAGCATATCCCTCGTAGGCAGAGATTGCTGTCTGTGGCCAAAAGCGTAGTCTGAGGCTCAAGCCTTAATTTTAGCACCTGTCTAGTTTTTCAAGCTAGTTGCAGCTGCTGAATCTCACAGCCTGTGTTTTGTTCTATTATTCTTTGCTGAGTGCTAATCTCTGTAGCAACTGCTGTGTTGCATTAAGCTATAAGGCTCCAGGGTAGGACTTTGTCAATTTGTATCTCTCAGTGTTACTACCACTACGATTTAGGAGAAAAGATCTCCTGAATTTGGGCATACCAACAAGTCAGGCACATGATCACTATCCTGCTAAATCATTCGCCTGTATCTCAATTTTGGCTGCTGCCCAGATGCTAATGTTCCTGTGAATCTCAGCAACCAAGAAACTAATTTGTAAATCATGGTATGATGTGTTTCTCATTACTAAGTATATAAGAAAAAAAAACTCCATATAAAAACAATACCAGAGTCAATTCATACCAGACTTCTCCAATCTGGAATTTCCCAGTGTATTGGACGTAACTCTTATTGGCCATGATAGAAATTGCTGTCCAATACTTATGGATCCTATTAAGTGGAGAAAGGATGATTTCCTATATGCCTCTAAGCAGGCACATGCAACTTGCTAACACAGAGGAAACTTACTTACTTTATGTGCCACTCACCTCTATGCAAAAGCCATTCACGGACAGTCTCTGTGACATCAAAGGACAGCCATTCAGGAGAGCCCCGTGTCAGTACATTTCGGCCACTTAGGTACCGCTGCTTTGCAATATGCTCATCAGGTTTCAGGATCTACAGAAGCAGATGGCACAAGGCATTGTTTAGTTCACAGTTACTAGGTTTCCTTTGATAAGATCAACTCTTCTGGGTAAGAATGGTTGAGTTATTGTTTTTTTCCTTTGGTTTTCTGTAATATGTAAAATGTCTAATGTGATTTAACGGAGCAATTTCTAGCCATGTCTCCCAAAGGAAGAATTGAGTATGACAGGAAAGCATGCACATAAAAACTGACATAGGGGATGAAGTTACAGACTGAAATTAAGAGTTAAGTCCAACGATTGGGCCCATGGTTTCACTAGAAAACTACTTGTCAGAACCATGTCCCAATTCTCCTGACTGTGAAAGATGCTTCCACATGAAGGGCTTAGCTTCTCATATACTACTATTACTATGAATTCTTAGAACAATGGTAGCCCAGATTGCTTTATATCTTCCTGAAAGCAGCTCTGTGTAAGCACTGGCCATGAACTGAAAGAAAGCATAGACAAAAGCTATGGTTCCAAGGATTAATACTTTCCAAAATTATTAGTAGGGCATCTAGCTTTCAAATCCATATCTTCCATTCAATAAAGGTGCTGTGAATAAGCACAGTGCTCAGAAATGATTTCTGATACAGCAATCCCATTTGATATTTTCTCACTTCTCAATCTGGATTACAACAGTGGAGAACTAAGATAATGTAAGTGACTAACAGTGTGATCTTTCACTTCTACTTAGGTCGAGTATGTCTATTTGTTTATATTTATTTGGTTGTTTAAATCCTAAGTAACTCTAAGTTGTATGTCTATATAACTAAAAATCAATTCATTGAATAGCAAATACTAAAAAACAGAAGAGAAAAGTACAAAAACAAAACAAAACAAAAGTCCCCAAGGGGCCTCCACGATCATCTTGTCCCCAGACTTGAGAAAACAACCAGATCTTCAAAATTTCCTGAATGACATTTAAGACGGAGTCATAAGAGGGAATCTTTGGGGGGGGGAGGGAAACCTTTATTCAGTAGGCCTTTCTCCCAGATAAATAGGCATATTTTACAATGCAGATATCAAACTAGTGGATAGCATCTGTATTTTAGGATCAAACATTAGAAACAAGCAGTCAAGAAATACACTGCAGGCTAGTATTTAGTAGAGCAGCCACACCAGTCTTGGAAAAGATATTCAAATGTCATGATGTTTCTATACCTACAAAGAGCAGAATAACACAATCCATGTGCCTATGACACTCTGTGGAAGAGAAAGTTGGACTTCGAAGAAACAGGATAAGAAGAATATTTATGCCATTGGACTGTAGTGGTAGAAAAGACTTCTGAGAATACCATGGATAGCCATGAAAGCAAACAAATAGATAATCAACAAATCAACCCAGATTCTCATTCAAGGATAAATGACTAGATTTAAATTATCCTATTCTGCCACATTATATAAAGATCTAGCTCTTTGGAAAAGGCTGTAATGCTGGGAAAGGTGGAAGGAAAGAGAAGAAGAAGACCAGCAGCAAAATGGATAGACTCAGTTACAACGGCAATGAGTGTATTATTGGAAGACTCGAAGGACCAGGTTAGGGACAGATATCATCATGGATAAAATCTATTATGTGTTCGCTAAGAGTCAACAACAACTTGATGGCATGTAATCATTCAAATAGGAATCAGGATTGCATTATGCTATACTGAATCAAATGGATTTCCTTGATTTAAATGGAGTGCTTTCGAGGTGCCCTTATGCAAAGTATTTATTTTTTGTTGCCGGATTATAATCACTAAAAGATCTAGAGCAGGGGAGTTATCCAACTAGAGGACAATCAGTTAACATGATCAGGGGATAGACAAGGTCATGGCTCAAATGCTGACCACTGCACACTTGCTGCTGCATGCCCTGTCTGTCCCCTGCCCACTATGTTCCTGGGATGGCCACAGAGAAGCAGGTGGCTCAACAGGCTGACACCGAGTCTGTCCTCAGTTTGCAAGGGAAAGACGGACTGGTGTTTGACAATGCAATGAAAGGTGCAATAACCCAATAACCATCCCTGCCAGTCTGCTTCTTTTATCCAACACCTGCTCTATATGTTTCTTATTCACAGAGTGATCTGCCTATGGGCTTCTCCCCATAGAAGATTCACTGCTATTCCCTTGGTTTGGTCTAAAGTCAGTGGCGGGATTCAGCCAGTTCGCACCACTTAGGCAGAACCGGTAGCTAATTTTTTGTTGCCCAGGCCCAGAATGGACTTCCGGAAGTGGCATCCACACAGAGAACCGGTTGTTCACATATTTGAATCCCACCATTGTCTAAAGTTACAACGCCAAGAGCAAATCATCCATTCTCAGGCCAGCAGTGCAAAGTTCTAGAGCCATTCGCACAAAATTAGGAAAGACAAACTCTCTTGACTTCGAAGAAAAAAAGAATCAATTGTTTTCTACAAACCAGACCAGATTAGCTAGATCACACCCTTGGCCTGTCCCTCTCCTTTAAATGTTAGTTATTGTTGTTTTTACTTCAAAGAACAATTTGTTTATATGATAATAAAAGAAAATGGCAGTGTTCTAACCAGTAGCTCAAAAAAAAAATAAGAGGCAAGATGGTAGCCACAATTGTGTTGAATGCCGCTATCTTGATTATATCCCCTCCCCCACCCCACTGGAGTTCCCTTGTAAGAAATTAATATGCTTCCTCCTTCCAATTATTTTGCCATAGGCAGCATTGTCAGATGAACAATTTCTAGGCACTTTTAAAAATGCCGTTAAATAAATATTTTTAATATCTAATCCAATTGTCCCAAAGGCACTTTTCAAAAGTTAATTGGACTTTCTTGGGTTTTTCCTTGAAAGTGTTTCATTTCTCAAGAAGCTTCTTTGTCCAACTGCTATATTTTAACTTTTAAGTGTTTTAATTTTTGATACATTTGCCTTATTTATCTCTTTTTATTAACATATAAATCTCAATTGCTGTGTTAAGCAAGGACCAAGAAGCAAGGATTCCACTTGAATGTGTCTTCCAACTTCTTGCCAGTTTTCCCATTGAGTGCTTATGGGGAGCCAGCAGAGAATGTCAGAAATTGAGATCACATAACTAACTCACTGCAATGGACAGAATTCCAAGGACCCATTATAAATCCTTCTCCCTCAGTGGTGTTGCAAGTTTGAACAGTCACTGGATAAGTGGTCATAATCTGAAGAGAAATATACATGCTATGTACACATACATTAACTCACAGTACAATGGAGAACTTAATTTTAAGTAATTAGTTCAAAACTGAAGCTGTCCTATAACTAATACTTTGATGTGAATCGCAGTGATTCTTTTTTTAGCCTTACATAATACTCAATTTTATATTTGTAACCCTGACATACTAAATGATAATACTGATAGAATTTTTATTTTATGGTTTTTTTTACTATTTTAAACTTTTAAAATAATAGAATGCTAATATTTTTTAATCATATTGTATAAACGTTATTCCACTGAAATCTACATTAAAATTATACAAGATTATACAAGATCAAGATTTATAACATTACAATAAAAAGTAAATTATTTTAGGTTACCAGGTTCATATTAAACCTTCCTTGAGCCTATAATTATGCTTTATAATTTGTTTGTTTTTTCATTCTAAGGTTCCTAGACTTTATCCTCTCTGCTCCCACATTTTCTACAATCCTACTCTAAAGTATTACTGATACACACACACACACACACACACACACACACACACACACACACACACACACACACACAAAGCCCTTGGAATATTCAAGGAAAGCGCACTATGTTATTAGTGCCTACAAAGTATCTATTAAAGGCACCACAGTCTTTGCTGTGAATGTTAGGGTTGGTTAGTTGGCATTGGTTGCTGTTCCTGATGTGAAGTAGGGGAGGGCAAGTTGTGGCAGACAAGTAGAGTGATAGGTTTAGCTTTGTTTAGAACTTGATCTTGGGGGAAGGGAAATTTACAGAAGGGAAGAAGGAGCTCTCCTCTCCTCTCCTGATTTACCAGAAACCCCTAGGCCAGCGGTTCTCAACCTATGGGTCACGACCCCATTTGGGGTCGATCGACTATTTCACGGGGGTCGCCAAGCAAGGCTGTCCGCCATTTTTTCCCCCTTTTCCGGCGGGTGCCTTACCTCTCTTGGGCTGGGCCAGCTGGTGGTCGGCCTGCTCCGTCTCTGCCGCTTGCCAGCTATGCCTCGGCTGGCGCAGGGGGCGGAACGCATGTGCGGTGCTCCCGGGCAGGGAAAATCCTCGACTTACGACCGGTTGGGTAGCCCTCAACTTACGACCGGTTTAGTCCTCGACTTATGACCGATTTAGTCCTCGACTTACGACAAGTTGGGGGTCGCGGCATTAAAAAGGTTGAGAACCACTGCCCTAGGCCATGTATCTCCCCACCCAATAATATTCTTGCTTTCCAGATACACAATGCAAACTGTCCACAAAACCTGGAAGAGGGCATTGCCTGGAAGGGGAGAACTCTTTCACACCAGCCAGTTATCCATCGACATATCATAGGACTATCCATGAGATTCCCCCACATGGTGCATTGGCATCCACGTTAGATAGTTGTGCATGGGATGGTCATGAGGGCTGCTACCAGCAGGTGGGGGGAGGGTGCTGGGATTTGAAACATTTCCACCTCCTGGCAGAAGCAGTTAGCAGCTGTGCTGGCTTGCTGAACAGTGAGGAATCCCTGCGCAGTATATTGGCAGCCAGCTGACACATTGTACAGTGAAAAACAGAGGGGAGGGGACCATGCCCATACCAGTCCAAAGTGGCCAATAGTTGCTGGAGTGATCTCTTTGCTTTGCATCATTAACTTAGTATGAGCCAAAGTACTAAGTAAGTACAAATAGCCTGGTTTTCCAGGGGAAGGTGGAAAATAATAATAATAATAATAATAATAATAATAATAATAATAATAATAATAATAATAATAATAATAATAATAATAATAATAATAATAATAATAATAATAATAATAATAATAATAATAATAATAATAGTAAAGTTGGAAGGGATCTTGAAGGTCATCTAGTTCAACTCCCTGCTCAGGCAGGAAACCCTATACCATTTCGGACAAACGGCTGTCCAGTCTCTTCTTAAAAACTTCCAGTGTTGGAGCATTCACCGCTTCTGGAGGCAGGTTGTTCCACTGGTTAATTGTTCTCACTGTCAGGAAGTTTCTCCTTAGTTCTAGGTTGCTTCTCTCTTTGGTTAGTTTCCACCCGTTGCTTCTTGTCCTGCCTTCAGGCGCTGACTCCCTCTTCTTTGTGGCAGCCCCTGAGATATTGGAACACTGCTATTATGTCCCCCCTCGTCCTTCTCTTCGTTAAACTAGACATACCCAATTCCAGCAACCATTCCTTAGATGTTTTAGCCTCCAGTCCCCTAATCATCTTTGTTGCTCTTCTCTGTACTCTTTCTAGAGTCTCAACATCTTTTTTACATCGTGGAAAACCCACATTCATTCTCAGTTCAAAAAAAAAAACCCTGACATCAGCTGGTTTGGGCTATGGACTAGGATTGAGAAGGCTGCATTATGTGTGTGATCTTTCAAAATGGTTATCCAGGCATTTTCAAGATGAATGTAGGAGGATGTAACAAAGGACAAGAGAAGTCACTCTCTAGGTTTGCACTGCTGGGTAATAGATAGCATGGTTATTGATTTATTTGGCATAGAATCCAAGCACATAACAAGCCTTGTCTATAAAATGATGAGATGGATTTCCAAATGCTAAGACAACCATAGCCTTGCTCGGTCTCCCTTCATCACATCCCTGCCTTCCGTAGGTGGGGGGGGGGAACCCCTACTGGAAAACAAAGCTTTTCTTTAATGGATTAGACACCAGGGAGGAAAGGTTAGTACAGACAGTCCTCAACTTACCACCACAATGGACCCCAAAATTTATGTTGCTAAGCGAGAAATTTGTTAAGTGAATTTTGACCTATTTTACATTTTTTTCTTGCCACATTTGTTGAGTGAATCATTACAGTTGTTAAATTAGTAACACGGTTGTTCAGTGAATCTGGTTTCCCCATTGATTTTGCTCGTGAGAAAAGGGGATCACATGACCCTGGGACACTGCAACTGACAAAAACGTGAATCAGTTGTCAAGTATCCAAACGTAAATCACATGACCCTGAGGATGCTGCAACGGTCGTAAGTGTGAAAAATGGTGATAAGTCATTTTCATCCGTGCCATCGCTCACTAAGCGAACTGTTGTAAGTTGAGGATTACCATGAGTACCTGTATTCATGGACCGGGGCGTAGTGGGGGAGAGGGAAATGGGAGAATTGGAAAGAAAGCAAAAATGTCCACTAGAAACAGGAGCTCCTACCTTGAGGTACCCTGGAGGCCCTGCTAGGAAGCGGGATTACCTGAAAGAGTTCAATACGCTGCTCCGAACGTTTGGAGCTGAGGTTTGGCAAGCGAAGGACCCGAAACTCTGCCCGGAAGAGGCTGGTGATGTTTGTCTCTGCTGAAGACACGTTGAAGCGGAACATGTTGGAGGTTACTCCTTTGGGGCACAGCGGCAGCTCATCTAAGAGAAAACGACAAATGAGCTGGAAGGGCATTGAGGAGAGAGATCATAATCCAACCAGGAATGAAAGCATTTCATTTATTTATTTATTAAATGTATATACTGCCCAACTCACGGTTTGAGATGTAGACTATATCTACCGGTAGGTACAAGAATTGAGGCAGAGTTAATCTCTGGCTAAATGGAAATGATTTGCATAAGTTGAAAAAAAAATCCCCCATCTCTTCCAAAATGAATGTGGTACGTACATAGTGGCTCAACTGAAGATTGTTGAATTGTACAATTAAAAAATGCTAAATTAAAATGACTCAATAAAATGTATTACTTTACTCCTGGGAGATACTTTCTACCCAGATGCTGTTCCTTAGATAGATTAAAACATTTAAGAGCAAAAGAAACCTTGGCCTAGTTCAGGGGTAGGCAACCTTGGCTCTTTTATGACTCGTGGACTTCAACTCCCAGAATTCCTAAGCGAGCTGTGCTGGCTCAGGAATTCTGGGAGCTGAAGTCCACGAGTCATAAAAGAGCCAAAGTTGCCTGCCTCTGGCCTAGTTAGTATGAATCAATGTTGGTTACCTTCAAATATCCATCTTTTAATGATTCATCTTCTAAGCTTATTAATAATTTGGTCCTATATTTTCAGGACAAGGAACAATCTTAAACTGAGTAAAGAACAAATGTTTAAAGTCACTGTAAAGGATAAATCAGCAAAAACTGGCCTATCAAAATCCAAAAAATTATTTTAAAAATACATTGTTTTCAAACCGGTTCTCACCTAAACCTACCAGGAAATTAGTAATTTGGTAATTGTTTTTACGATTAAAATAGCTGGGTTCAATCTCTTAAAGATTCACAAGTCAATTTCTCAAATAAATAAATAAATAAATAAATAAATAAATAAATAAATAAATAAATAAATAAATAAATAAATAAATATCAAAATCTAACATAAAATCAAAAGCTCCTTATTCAATAGTTTTGCCATCAAATTTTGTTGGTGCAATCTTGAGGAAGCCCTTGGACAACAGATGACATGTAATATTTGGCAGGCCCCCTTTTTCCATGACTAGTCATAGAGTAGATGTATTAACACATTTTTAAAAACCCTACATTGCACATATTTTGGTCTCTATTGCAATTCTTGTATGTCCCTCACCTCAAAAATGGTAGGAAGTTCAAAATTAGTGATATGATCAGAGGGCTCTAGGTTATCCCCTCTTGATCTATGTTATCAAAAGCTCCTGAAAAGTCCAAGAAAATCAACTCCCAGTAGAAATAATTCATCAAGACCACTGGAATGGATTGAATGCCAATTCATAGGTCATGTTTAGATTGAAATAGGTTACATTAAACTTTGTTCCAAAGATGCTTTTTCACAAGGTAACTGGACTTTCTTGTTTTTCTTTGAAGACATTTCACTTCTCATCCAAGAAGCTTCTTCAGCTTCTTCAGCTTCTTCAGCTCTGACTGGATGGTGGGGAATGGAAATCCTACAGACAGCTGGTCATTTGCATTCTTTTATAGAGTCGTTGATGACACCTGGAGGCTTATCTGTGTCTCCAGGGTCACCTGAGTAGTGCAAATGGGTGTAGAGCCTTCTTGGAACTGTTGAAAGGACTGTGTTGTAGACTGGAGATAGATGATGTCGTATCCCTCCCCTTCTGTTGAGAGAGGACTGTTCAGTTTTGACATAGATGGCCTCTTTGACCCTTTTTCAAACCAGCAGTCCTCTCTGTCCAAAATGTGGACTTTTCTATCTTCGAAAGAGTGGCCTTTGTCTTTTAAATGTAGATGGACTGCTCACTCTTGTCCTGATGGGTTTATTCTCCTATGTTGTGCCATACTTTTATGAAGTTGTTGTTTTGTTTCCCCAATGTACAGCAATGGCTCACTGCATTGTACTGCATATACCACGTTGCTCAGTTTGTGCCTGGGTGCCTTGGGGTGGACAAGCTTCTGCCTTAGTGTATTCTTCGGTTTGAAATGTGCATGTATGTTGTGTTAGTTGAAGATCCTCCTGAGCTTTTCCGATATTCCTGCAATGTATGGAATAACTACGTTGCTTTGTTTATTGTTTTCTTCGTCTGTTACAGAGGAGCTCCTGCTAGGTCTTTTTTGAGATTTGATGAAGGCCCACTTGGGATAGCCACACGTTCTGAGGGCTTCCTTGATGTGTTTGATTTCTTTTTTCTTTTCCTTCTTTGGTGGTAGGCAGGCCTTCAGCTCTGTGGTGTAGGGTTCTCATAACTCCCATTTTATGCTCCAGTGGGTGGTGTGAATCAAAATGTAAATATTGATCTGTGTGATTGGGTTTTCTGTAAATTTCAGTGTTAAGGCTTCTGTCTTCCTTAATGTACACAGCACAGTCCAGGAAGGCTAGGCTATTTTCCTTAATATCTTCAGGGGTGAATTTGATGTATCTGTCCATCAAGTTGATATGTTTGGTGAACGTTTCCAATTACTGTATTTTGATCTTGACCCAAGTATCATTGACATACCTATACCAGTGAGTGGGTAGAATTCCTGCAAAGGAGTTTAGGGCTTTGGTTTCTACCTCTTCCATGTAGAGATTGGCCACACTGGGGGACACAGGTGAGCCCATGGCGCAGCCATGTTTTTATCTGTAGAAACCTTCACTGTATTGAAAATAGGTAGTGGTCAGGCAGAGGTCTAGCATAGCACATATGTGGTCTGGGCTGAAGTCGGTTCTGTCACCTAGGGTGCTGTCTTGTAGAAAACGTTTTTTCACTACCGTGACAGCTTCAATTGTTGGGATGCAAGTGAAGAGTGAAGTCACATCATAGTAAACCATGGTCTCATCTGAGTCCAGTTTTATTTTCCAGATCTTGCTGGCAAAGTCATGTGAATTATTGATGAGATGAGTGGTGTTACCAACTAGAGGAGCTAGTATGGTAGTTAGATATTTTGCAATGTTGTAAGTGACCGAGTTGATGCTGCTAACTATTGGTCTGAGTGGTGTTCCTTCTTTGTGGATTTTGGGAAGTCCATATATGCATGGCGTGGCTTCCCCAGGTTAAAGATGGTAGTATTGTGGCTTGTCGATGGCATTATCCTTTAGTAATTGTTGCAAGAAATCAATGACCTTTTTTTTGTAACTGCTGGTGGGATCTCTCTTCAGAATCTTGTATGTGGCAGTGTCCTTCAGAAGACTGTTAATCTTGGCCTTTTAGTCATCTGTGTTCAGGATGACTGTGCATCAAAGAGGCCATCTATGTCAACATTGAACAGCCCTCTCTCAACAGAGGGGGAGGGATCCGACATCATCTATCTCCAATCTACAACATAGTTCTTTCAGCAGTTCCAAGAAGGCTCTACACCCATTTGTACTACTCAGATGACTCTGATGACACCGATAATCCTCCAGGTAGCTTTAACGACTATCTAAAAGAATGCAAATGACCAGCTGCCTGCAGGAGTATAAATCTTTCCATTGCCCACCATCCAGTCAGAGCTGAAGAAGCTTCTTGGATGAGAAATGAAATGTCTTCAAAGAAAAACAAAAAAGTCCAGTTGCCTCCTGAAAAAGCATCTTTGGGATAACTATGACCTGGATGACTGAGAATCCCCATAGACGTTAATCTTCGTCAGCCCCAAGTGCTTCCTTACATATCCTAGTTGCTGTGCTTCATTTTCTTCCTCTGTCTCCTCTATAGAGGCTTTGATATTTTTCACAGAAGTTGACTTCACACCTTAAGCCCAAAAAGCAGACCACCAGGAGAGGGCTAGATGGAGTTTTTAATTCCTCAACTCCTTGCCCACACACACAGACTACTCCCCCAAGCCCCAAAACATAGCGCTCCCTGCTGCTTTTGACAAGAAACAAAGATGTAGTACTCTGGGAAGCCTGCCACATGGCGTCATGTGGACGGGAGCCACTGGATTATTATTATTATTATTTTGGACATATACACTCCTGTCCTAGAGATGACATGTTGGGGAGGCTGGGAGTGCAAGTGCAAGGATCTCCTTCGCCTGTCATCATTTGGAACCAGGATGTGGGACTGTCTGCTTTTCTACCGGAGCGAAAGCTCTCCTCCTTCTGCTATCTTGTTTCCTCCGCAGGGCTAAAGTCCTGGAACAAGACAAATACTTTCAGCTATCTGGTGAACAGTTTGGAGCCAGGACTATTTCCTGTGTGTGCCGTTTTGGAATTGTCTGTATCAGCACTGAAACCTCAATGGAATAAGACTTGCCCCACTTCCTCGGGTGGCGGGCGGGGGCGGGGGGGAGGAGAATGGGTTTGGCTCTATGTTTGTTCTGAATCACCACCTGGCAGAGAGACAAAGCCAGGAAAAAGTTGAATACTGGCCACTTTTGAAGACATGGGACCAAATCCATCATCCAGGCAAGGGAGGAAAATGGCACAGATTTCAACAAGGCAGGTCTCTGCTTTCACCAGGGTTAAATTGCACTCTTACTTTCTTCATCATGATCTAACTTCAAGGGTGTCTCTTGGAATACAAATTGTTTGGTCCCAGGAGACAAGTCAAAACAACACTTCCTCCCGGAGAGTCCATAGCTCAACTCCTCACTGTAAGCAAGATCCTACCTGGTTGAGTCTGGGTTAATGTCAGCAAACCTCTGCTCTTACTGCCTTTATCTTGGCCTGAAGTTTCTCTCCCTGCCTATATACACTGACTTTGCATCCTGAATAAACTCACACAGGTCTTTGGCTAAATTTCTTTCCAAGACATACTTCAAATCAAATATGATTTCCCCTACTATAGAACAGAGAACTTTTGGGAGGTTGGGCTATAGTTGGGATTTTAGAAGTATTTTGTAATCACTTTCATAAAATAGTTATTCATAACACAACTGCCAGAGTGATATGGGAAATCACAAATCCGCTGTTAAGTAGAGGTTAGATTGTTGTGTTGTTCCTGACATTCCCTTAGCAGCATCCAGGATATCTCTATTATCCAACTGGGCTGCAGGCACTCACTACTTTGGTTGTGTAAGAACATCCACAGTTCCCTCTTCCGATCAACAAAATGTAACTCATCATTCTTCTGTGACTAAAACTAAATCATTAACAATGTTGACTGCTTTCCCTTTCTCTGTACCTTAAGATGTGCTTCTGACAATTGTTGCTATTGGCACGGATCATATATTTTTATGAAACAGTTTATGTCAGATTTAAGTATGGAGACATTTGCATCGTCATATCGTTTATTGCAGCTTAGTAGACATAGGAATCCCAAAGGTCATTCATGGATTATTTTTTTCCAGTTGCAATTTTGAAAACTTGTGAAAGGTATATGTTATATCCATTAATTGTTTTGCTGTCTCTTATGTAGAGCTTTGCAAGTTTCCACCAAATTCCTTGCCAATTTGTACCAAGGAACAGAAGAAACAGAACATATAGGCAAAATATGCTATTTCCCAAATAATATTTCAAGTAACTCTTCCTTGTGTTTTCATTGATCTCCTGCATAATGACATTTGTTCAGATAATTTCTACATGGATCAGGAAAGGAATTGAGTAAGTAACTAGAAAGTGCCAACTTTGCTGAACTAAAACTCCTACAATCCCATTTAATATAACCATATTGGCTAAGGATGGGGAAGATATCTTTTTATCCTTCAAGAGGTACTTGTTCAGGGAAATGTGCCTCAAAATATGACTACACAAGGAGATGTGAATGGGGCAAAATTTAAAAGGTGGTGGCAAGCTTCAAGCAATATCTTCTGTTAAAGAGTTTGTTGACTGATTACTTTCAATAATTGGATCCTCCCCATACCTTCCAAACAGGGCAGTAGGGCCCTCTTTCAGCTAAGGTTGATGTAATCTAAGTCAACACAGGAACAATAAAAGCAACTGCAGTGGTTTTCACTGCAAGCAACTCAGTAAGTTGGCTGAATTGAGTAAGTTATAGAAGCGTCTTGTTCTACTGGTTACTTCTTTTTCAGAACAGAATATGAAATATTGCAATTAAATGTGGGGGTGGGTTAGTTATATTTGTAACTAAACTCAAATACTGAATAATTCCATAATCCTTCTACGATCTTCTTAACATAAATCCACATTGATTAAGCAATGAACCCCTGAAATTTCTCTCACTGAGGAAAAATGAGGCAAGCATATCTGTATGCCAGAGTCTAGGTACTGCAATACTTTATTAACTCCTCTTTTGTTATTACACTACCACAGTGAAATGCTGAAACTCAGAAATATTGTTTTAAATTTCATTTAGCTTCAGGGCATTTATTGTTTTTCAACTTCGGTGGCTCCATATTTCTACTATTTCATAGCAAGAGACAGCACAGATGTACAACATCTGTATCTTTGGGGTTTTTTTTGCCTTTGTGAAGACCATTCAGAATCCTCTTTTCCTCTGATTTGCTGTAATATCTGTTTTATTATGTATCATTTTCATAATGCCCTCAGCATTACGAAGAAGCTACTGTGCCATCTCTCTTATTTTGACTCTTACTCATGTCCACATTTTTCAACTTAATGAATTTCTTGAAGGGGAAATAATGTCATGATGTTAAAAACAACAACAACTCTGTTGGGGTCTCTCATAAGAAAAGCCATTGTTAAGGATTGCTGCTCATAGGGGTACATAGGCTGAGTTTCTAACTTAGATCCTTGTTGCCAGGGTAAGGACTATGCTTTCAGATCTGAGGTTGCACCCAGTGCAAAGAAAACCAAGGCTCTGCATGGAACGGCATCAGCACCTTTTTGGTTTCCAACAACAGCGTGACTGCAAAACTATTATGTCCATCAAAATATACAATCACAAGAAGGAGCTGGAGGGGGATAAGGGATTTTTTACAGTTTTGCAGAACTGGCAAAAGGTTTAAGTGGCTGAATGACCAAATTTTCCAAATATTTTCCTTACAATTCCAACTCTGCTCCTGAGTGCAGGTTCAATAGTCATACTGATTGCTGATCATTGAACGATTTACTTCATTACATGCAAAGCAGAAACCAAATCTACCATGCCAGTTGTGGCTGAATGTACGTTATGTATTCTCTGTAGGAGAAAGCTTCCCCAGCATCTGCAGTGATTGCTAGTCACATATGGAACATATTAATATATCTACTCTGTCCTTCAAAAATAATTTTGGCTTCAAAGCATCAGAACAACTTTTTGCTCCCTCAGTCTTGAAGTACATTGCTCCCACCCACTCATGTTCTTTGTTGCTCTCTCCCCCCTCCCCTCCTCCTACTTGAGCTTTGCAGATATCCTTGGTTCTTCTCACACTGGCTGGTTTTGGGGATGATGTTATTCCAAGACACTGGCTTGCTTATTACAAATGCTAAAAGTTTTCTACCATGGATAGGGGGCTACACAACATCAAAAACATGATGTTTGAAATTCTTGGATTCAGAGAGGCTAGCTTGCAGGCTTCCAAGAGGCTATCTGTGTTTGCTCAGAGGCCAGCCCTACTTTCCTTAGTAAAAATGTATTTTCAAGAAAGGGTGCAGAGATTGCAGCCTGAATTGTTTAAGTTCTCACCCTCATCACTCACGCCATCTTCAGCCCTCTATACTCATCACCAACAGCCTAGATAGAAGATATTCCTGCCATTCTTTTCTCTTGTTGCTTTTTCTACCCCTCCCTCCAGGATACTTGGCCATGTCTTCCGTCTCACCTCCCACTCAGCTCTGCTGTTAATCCAAGAGCCCATGAGGACACCTAATGGCAGTCAAGGAAAAAGTAGCTATGGCCAGAGACTCACAGCCTCTTTCTCCGACTCTTCCATTATTAGAAAACCAATCCCAGCACACTACCAGACCCAAACCTGAAATAGGCTTGCTAGAGATAGGTATTAACAAATCAATGTACAAGTCTGTTTGGCCCACAATTTCATACATGAGTTAAATTTGTACGCCACTTCTAAAGTCAGATACACTTTATTCTCACATTCAAAATGTTCTCTCCACATCCAACACATATACTTAAACATTTATGGTTATGTTGAAAACACATCTACATATGTCTTTTGTATTTGCTGATATACACAGACATGGGTACTAACACAGACACGCACAAAAAAGAATATTTGCAAAGATCACTTCTGCATCTAATATATATCCAGGCAATCAGCTTTGATAGTGTATGCATACAAGTATACCCTCATCCATTTGCATAAATATCAATGCTTGGCAGGCACTCACCACACACTGATAGACAATGCCGCAATGAACAGCTATTGCCAACTTCTTGGCCAGACAAGATTCTGCATCCTAAAAGCGGGGGGGGGGGACTACTTATTGGGGTAGATCTCTCAAGAGACCTGGCAAAGAAATGCTCTTTATTTTTGCAACCAGGAATTTACAAACAACTAAGCAACTGCAGAGAACTCAGACTACTGTGCCTTGGATTCAGATCTAAGCTTACATGAGGACCCGGTTAATTTAAGGCAACAAGAACTCAGATGTTGTCACCATCTTTTCCACTCTAGAATCTTTAACTGCTTGGTGACTTTGCCTTCCTCTTCCCACTCCCAAGAGGGGATGCTGTGATTTTTTTCCCTCTTGAATAAATGTTCAGTAGGCAACATCTCCCACCTCTTCCCACTCTTCTCCGGGAATCCAGAAGAAACGGGGACTTACTGTGTTCGGGAAAGCCCTGGATCATGTCAAACTTGTGGATCTCTTTGGCGTAGTACTCGGACTCCGAGTTGTCCAGAGAGCAGCCGTCCTCCTTCTCCTCTTCCATCTCCTCTAGCAGCTCCCGAGTGCTGTTATATAGAGCCAGGACTTGATAGGGCACGTGGCTTCGCCCCACACTCTCCGGAGGGCTGGTTAGGCGCAGTTTGCTCAGGATTTGGCCCCGGATGGCCTCTATCCTCTTCTTCTTGATGTGCTCCAGGTCCAGCGTCGTGCAGGAGGAGAGCGACAGGCTGACGGTGGCCAAGCTCAGGAGCGAGAGGAGCAGCAAAGTCCCGTGCAAGTGCATCTTCAGGCGCGGGGCGAGGTGGGGCAAGGGCGGCGGGGCAACTCCGCCGGAAAGCGCGCTCGCGGAAAGGCGCGGGCGACCAAGCAGATCCTGCCGTTTGGCACTTGGCGAGAAGGGGCATGAAGGATCTCCCCGCCGGCCTCGGGAGCGGGTTGGGCTCCTAGCCTAGGAAGAACCGCCGGCCGCTCTCGAGGCAGAGGAGGAAGCGGATCGGCGCCCCGCCCCGCCGGGGTTCCTCTCCATGAGGGCGAGGGGGCAAATCGGGGCCGGGGGGAGGGACGAGCTGCCGGCTTCACCGCCTCGCCCGGGCTCCCGATCCCGCCGCGCCGCTGGGCAGCTTCGGAGGAGGCAGGCGCCCGGGAGACTCCGCGGGGAGCGCACGGGTCAGGGGCCGAGGGCGCACTTGCGGCGGCCGCTGCGCCCCAGTCCGGCGGCTTCGTCGCTCGCCATGCCGGTGGGAACTGCGCCGAGGCGGGGTCCCCTCAAGAGATGCGCCCGAGCTGCCTTTGCCGCTCTTCTCGCTCCTGAGCTGGGCGCGGGCGGGCGGGCAGAGCGGCTAGCGGTGCCCCTGGCCGGCTTGCGGAGGTCGCCCGCCGTCGCCCGGCTGCCCAGTTTCTGGCAGAAGCCACCTCTTTTCTTCCGCCGAGGCGCCAGACCGCCGCCGAGCTCCCCTCGGACCCCTTCGCCGTCGCCGCCTCCGCTGCCTTTTCTCAGCCAGGCGCACTGCCTGCTTCTGTTTCTCTCGCTTGAAATTTTATACCTCCCTCCCATGACGTCGTTGAGACCGGGCCGGGCACAGGGGGAGCAACCGAGGGCTCTCTCCAAGCCCAGCCTTCGCGTCCAGCGCAGAGCTAATGGGGGCGCTTTCCGCTCTCTGGGAAGGCGGAGGCGCTCGGGAGCTTCGGCTTCCGAGCTTTGACGAAGTGATCGGTAGGAGCCGAAAGGTTCGGCCCCACGAACTGTATCGCTAACCGCCTTTCCTTTCTCTCTCTCTCACCCCCCCCCACTTTTTTAGATAAAAAAAATCCAGGGGCTTGAGATTAAAGTAGGGAAAATTGGTCGGAAATTTTTCGAGGTGCCTCGATTGCAACCGACGTCCTCGAAGCATCCCAAGCGTCCTTTCTGTGCTGGTGTTTTGCCATGATCTCGTGATCACCGGTGGTGCCAACAAGTGGAATCTATGTGTTGGCGCACCTGTATGATCCTGCGCTCAGTCATTCCCCAGTACTAAAGGCTTTTGATTAACTGGAGTGATTCGATCCCGCAGCTATACTCAAATATAAAGCTTGGTGGAATGATTTCTTCCAAGTAAACCTGGGCAGATCGGGTGAATTCTAACGAAGATCCTCATTTTTAACTATGGCTTGAACATATTACGATGTTACAGCGCCGAAAAGCTCGGTCTCATAGTTGCTGTAACAGCGTCATGACAAGAGGTTGACCCTGAATAGAGAGAGAGAGAGAGAAAAAAAAGAAACAATTATGCTGTGTTTTGAAGAGCTGGGTGTTCCCTCTGGTTTTGTTTTGTTTGTAAAGTGTTGGGAATGTGAGGTCGCGAACTGATTTAGCAAGCGGCTTGGAACTACCGTGTGTTCTCTTTTTAATTTAATTTTTATAATTTGTAAAATCATCTTTTGTATTTCTTTTTCTTTTTTTATTTCCCCCCATCTGGTTCTCTTCTTAAGCATCTTTAAAATTCACAATAAAAGAGAACTATGCTGTATGTCGTGACCCCGCCCCAAATCATTAATTTTATTTATTACATAAATCACTGCAAAATAGGAATAAAGTGCAGCCAAGGAAGCGAATAATGCCCTCTGGTGGACAGTGCTCTCCTCACTTTTAGGAGAAGCTCCCCTTGGAATGGTTTTCAAGGAAGCTTGTTCCTGAAACGGAAAATGGATTAAATATTTTGGCATTATATCGTCCTCCCCTCCCAGTTATTTCCAGCTGCAAAACAATATCTTGCATCTTAAAGCTAAAGTGTACCTAAAGCGACTTTTCTTTTTTTTATAAACTATATCTCTTCCTGTGACAACCTATTTCCAGTTTTATTTAGTGGCTCTTAGAATGAAAATATGCTTGTTGGAAATATGCCATTCCTTGCATCCATAGGTAACATTTTAATTGATTTAATGTTAAATATGTACTTTACTTTTCTGTTACAGAACAATATTCAAATATAAACTATAGCAACCAAAGTACAATAAAGCAATGACAACAGTTCTTTAAATGTGCAAAGAGGAAGAAAATAGAAAGCAGCAATTTAATTATTTAGAAAATAAGGAAGTCATCCTTTCTCATAAAGATTGAGTCATTAGTGCCCAGTGAATCCAATTAACATTATATATACCAATGTAATAGAAACAGCTACAAGAACATGCACTGATCAACCTTCACTATCTGTATGCTGTAACAAAAATGGACATTTTATGCAAATTGCTCTACAATGAGCAAAAATTGTATAATAAGAGCATTCGTGTGACTGCTTTGCTAGCCTGTACGTGCGCACCTAGCATATAAATGCAATTTCCAGCATTGCTTTTTATGGAAAAACAATTACTTGTATGGAAATTTCTAACAGGAGAAATTCTCTGGGGTTCAATCTCTTGAAAATCAAGCATTTGGTTCAGGGAGAAAGACTTTCTCCATCTGAAACACAAACGAACAAAGCCTCTTAGGCATTAAACTTTCGGCGTCTCTTTTTCTTAGTTTATTACTTTTTAGTGTTACTTTAGACCAGGGGTAGTCAACCTTGGCTCTTTTATGACTCGTGGACTTCAACTCCCAGAATTCCTGAGCCAGCTAAGCTGGCTCAGGAATTCTGGGAATTGAAGTCCACGAGTCATAAAAGAGCCAAGGTTGACTACCCCTGCTTTAGACTTAAGTTTAAATTTAATTCTTAGTTTTCTTAACATCCGTAGCTTGTCCACTTTGAGCCTCCGCAGACCCCTGACTTAGAGACGTATCTGCAGTAGTTCTTTTTAAGACTGAGCAAAATGCTTAAACACGTGTCTTGCTAGCACCGACGTAATTAAATACTCCAGGGCGATAGCAAAGAATACTGTCAGGTCAGCACCGTCACTCGAATCCTCCCAGCCAGAAGAACGCGGACCTTTTAAGCGGAAGTCGTGGTTGCTATGGACGCTTAAAAGGCGGGTTTTTTTTCCCGGAAGTAAACGGCTCCTCGCCTCCCCCCCCCCAATCTCGCGTTCCGGCACGTTGGGCCTGAGGGATGGAGGACGAGTTGGAGTTGGATGAGGAGGTCTGCAAGGGGGTAAGGCGAGCGCGGACGTGGTTACCATGGCGACGGAGGGACGTTTCTCCTGGCCTGTTTTGCAGCCCGCCTTGCGTGATTTCCTCAGGCATTTGGCCGGACTTCGCGGCTGAGGTCTTGCCCCCCCCTTCCCCCTCCCGTCCTCTCGAAGCCCGCGAGTAGGTCTTTCTGGATAGGCCAGGGGTAGGCAACCTTGGCTCTTTTATGACTCGTGGACTTCAACTCCCAGAATTCCTGAGCCAGTCATGCTGAGGGGAAAGGGAGACGTTTCCAAGCTGAGCCATGCTGGCTCAGGAATTCTGGGAGTTGAAGTCCACGAGTCATAAAAGAGCCAAGGTTGCCTACCCCTGGGATAGGCGCGTAGCCAAGTTTGTGCCGCAGTTCCGCTGAAAAACTCAGACTTGGCGCGCCGGTCTTTTAAAAACGGTTTTTAAACGGCAAACTTGCTGCAGAGTCTCCCCGGGCGAACGCTTTTTCTCGGAGGGTCAGCACAGATTGATTATCCCTGTATGCCGTTATTCTGTGCCGTTCTGAGGGAGATCTTTTGAATAACTACGTTCATATTCTTCATGTAGGTAGTAAAGATGGGGAGACGTGCTCATCATGATTACTTGCCGGACGAAAACCACCTTAGCCAGATGAACTCTCCAGTTGCACAGGTGGGTATAACTAAGTTGAGCAACATTGTCTAGACCAGTGTTTCTCAACCTTGACAATTTTAAGGCATGTGGACTTCAACTCCCAGAATTCCACAGCCAGCATTGCTGGCTGTGGAATTCTGGGAGTTGAAGTCCACATGCCTTAAAATTGTCAAGGTTGAGAAACACTGGTCTAGACGTCTTGGATTTGACTGATAAATGGAGCATGTTATTCAAATAGCATGTAAGGCTACCCTTCTTGGGCTGCAGAACTCCAGTTGACGACTAATTGGCCACAAAGAAACAGAATATTACACAATAACTGATTATTTATCTATCAGATTTCTACGCAGTTTATCTCACCTAAGCGAATCTTGGCAGTTTGCAAATATCTGGTAGTTGTCTGTATTTTTGCAGCCGAGATATAGTACCCATAGATAGCGAAATTTTCTAATTGTGAGACCTGCTGGTTGTAAAAATCTTGTCCTTTTGGAACATGCTGTCAAATATAGCTTTTCACTACATGCTATATTTTTATACATACATCCATAGAAGATCTGTGACAGAGCTGGAAAAGCTGGTTAGTTAAATTCTGGATAACCATTTACCGAGTAGTCATTTACAACATCATGTTTTGAAGTAGTTAGTAAGTTGGTCATTGGTATCATTTTATCAAATAGCACGGGTTTTGTTAAAAACAGATCATGCCAAACCAATCTTATGTCATTCTTCGACAAAGTGACTAAACTACCGTAATAGATCAGTGAAATACTGTGGACGTAGTATACTTAGACTTCAGTAAGGCATTTGATAAAGTAGACCACAACCTACTCCTTGGTAAGCTAGAAAAAGCTGGAATAGACAACATCACCACCAGATGGATCTGTAGCTGGCTGGCAAACTGTACTCAAAGAGTAGTCCTCAACGGCACTACATCCATATGGAGAGAAGTAAGCAGTGGGGTACCACAAGGTTCTGTCTTAGGCCCAGTACTCTTCAATATATTCATCAATGACTTAGATCAGGGCTTTTCAACCTTTTCACCCATTGTACCACTTTTAAGATATGGCAACATCCGAGTACCACCAGTCGCCTAGTAAGGTGTCAAAAACTTGATGATCAAAAAAAAGGGAAAAAGTGATAAAGTACAGGTAGTCCTTGACTTACAACAGTTCACTTAGTGACTGTTCGAAGTTACAATGGCACTGAAAAAAGTGCCCCCCAAGCCACAGCCGAGCAAGACGCCTGCCCACCCGGCGGCGCTCTTCCTCCTGTCCGAGGTTTTCATTGTTGTGAGCATTTCTGTTGAGGATTGGCAGCGGGGGTGGGGTGGGGGGGTGTTTGGTTTTTATTCCCCCCATCTGCTGGGTGGTTGCAGCAGGTTTTGGTCACTTCACATGACCCTGGGACACTGTGACCGTCATAAATATGAATCAGTTGCCAGGCATCTGAATGTAAATCACAAGACCCTGGAGATGCTGCAACATTCCAGCTGATCGGTGCTTCTTCTGGGCTCAGCAGAACCACCAGGATCAGTGCTGCTTTCCAGATGATTGGTGCTTCTTCAGGGCTTAGCAGAAGCACCAGGATCAGCGCTGAGCTCCAGCTGGAGCCTGGGCTGATCCTGGCGCTTCCGCTGAGCTCTGACAGCCCTGCAGCTCCAGCCGTCTCTCGCTCAGGCTTGTGCGGTGCTGCCACCGGTTCAGCTCATTCCCCTCCCCCGCTACCACTTTTCTAGGATGGTCGCGTACAACCTGCCAGGTGCCAAGGTACCACAGGTGGTACCCGTACCACTGGTTGAAAAACTCTGACTTAGATGAGACAATTGAAGGGAAACTCGTCAAATTTGCAGATGATACCAAACTGATAGGAGTAGCCAACAGAAGACAAACTCAGGATTCAAAAAGATCTTGACAAACTTGAACAATGGGCCCTATCCAACAAAATGAGTTTCAATGTGGAGAAAAGCAAAGTTTTACATTTAGGCAGGAAAAATCAAAGGTACAAGTATAGATTGTGCAAGATCTGGCTTAAAAACAGTAACTGTGAGAGGGACCTTGGAGTCTTAGTGGACGATCACTTGACTATGAGCCAGCAATGTGCAGCAGCAGCCAAAAAAGCCAATACAATCCTGGGTTGTATAAACAGAGGTGTAGAATCAAGATCACGCGAGGTATTAGTACCGCTTTATAAAACCCTAGTAAGACCACACCTGGAATACTGCAGCCAATTTTGGTCACCATATCACAAAAAAGATGTTGAGAGTTTGGAAAAAATTCAGAGAAGAACAACTAAGATGATCAAAGGCCTGGAGACTAAAACATACGAAGAAAGGCTGCAGGATTTGGGTTTGGCTAGTCTAAAGAAAAGAAGAAATAGGGGAGGTATGATAGCAGTATTCCAGCATTTGAGGGGCTGCCACAAAGAAGAGGGAGTCATGTTATTCACTAAAGCACCAGAGGGCAGGACAAGAAACAATGGTTAGAATCTGATCAAAGAGAGAAGCAACCTGGAATTAAGGAGAAACTTCCTGACAGTGAGGACAATTAACCAGTGGAACAGCTTGCCTTCAGAAATCATGGGCGCTCCATCACTGGAGATTTTTAAGAAGAGGCTAGACAGTCACTTGTCTGAGATGATATAGGTTCTCCTGCTTGACCAGGGGGCTGGACTAGAAGACCTCCAAGGTCCCTTCCAGCTTCTATTCTATTCTATTCTATTCTATTCTATTCTATTCTATTCTATTCCATTCCATTCCATTCCATTCCATTCTATTCTATTCCTCTGGCTCACCATATTTGGGATTGATTTCTGCACGTCATAATGTTACTGGCAAATTATAAAAGAGGGCTGGAATATTTTCTTATGATTACCTCAGTTAAATAACAAATTATTCAGTGTTCATTTATATGCAAAAATATGTGTAAGGAACAGACAATTCTCTGACAGCATGGGCATCTATAGAAGGACCTTTTCAGCAAATTTGAATGGATATTTTTTTTTAACAAATCTCATGGATGCTCATATTGTCACGTCCTAAGATGTGTAGGGCTTTAAGAGTTAGTACAACATCTTAGATTATGCTTGAGAAGTAATTGACCAAAAGTGTAGATATTTCAGTATGGACATCTTGCAATCTCTCTTTTAATAATTAGCAGCTTAGGTGCTATATTTTGCAACTTGGGGACACTTCTTAAGCATATTTCATGTACTGAGCATGTAATAGTTAGGACAGGGTATAATCTAGGCATAAATAATTGCTGTCAAATCTTGCCAGCTCAAGAAGTGTTGTATTAGTTGTACTAAGTATAATTGTTAAAAACTGCTTTGCCATTGCTGCAATCTACGCATCCAACGACAGCTGAAATTCAAGGTCCTGCTCTTTTATGGGGAGTGCAACCCTGTCTAAAAAGAAGCTGAACCCGATTTCATTTCTTATTTAGCAGTAGCACATCTATCTTACCTAATTTAATTCAGTTTATTTTCCCCCATTCTACATATTATTGATAATAACCAATTTTCAAGAGTACTATTCTCATTATACTGATGGTACATTAGTTCAAATGATATTCTTATACAATTTCATGTAGTATCAGCAGGTATAACTGAGACGTTTTGAGGATATAAAATTGAAAAGCCCAACTGTGGCACTAGAAAGGATCGTATGCTTGTTGCCAAACAGTGTTTCTAGATCTTGGGATGTGAACAAATAATCTCTTTAGACTGTGAAATAAGATAATGTTTGCCAAGAAATTTCTAAGCCAGCTTCTTGCTGTAAGAAGCCTGCTATGACTTGACATTTTTCATTTTCTCATGTAATATTAATTTCTTATAATAATGACCTGAAATAAGCAGTGAATTTTGGATTTTATTCCTTCATGCTTCTTCTTTTTCCTATGTGACTGAGAAGGAGGCATTCAGACCTTTTTGCTTAATTGTGGTTTGTTTCATCCAAAATGAAAAAAAGATTTTAATATTAATTATATATTAATTATATATAACAAGCAAATTTAAAACCATACAAACTTAAAGTAGAGTCAGCAAACACAGAAATAAATTATTGCAATATTTATTATATCATGCAAAACTGAGACACTATTCTTAATAACTTAAAATAACATTGATGGGAACTGTCCACTTTCAGCAGTTTAGTTCCACCTATTCGTGGGTTTTTTATTTAATTCAGGGCATATAGTTAGATTAACCAAAGTAAATTATCATGTCCTGGGACATAAAACTCAAATGTGGAAATATGGAAAGACAATGTGCTTTGAATAAACGATACGGAAACATGGAGGTCAGCAGAGATTTTCCATTTGAATACTCTTTTCAAAACATGTACTTTAAATATATAAACATATTTTCCATCAAAGGAGAATCAGTATTAGTATTGCCCATCCCATGGAAGTCTTTGTGGAATGGATCAGTGTTTCTTCTTTTGAAGCCATCCAGCTGCCTGTACAAGAAGTGTTGGACTTCCAACTGTTCCTTTGGAATGTTGCCAGATTCTCCAATAGGAATCTAAAAAATGTAGCTGAACTCATGTTCCCTAATTAGGTCAGCTTTCTTAAAATGATCTGTAGCCTCATTCAGCCTGAAGCTCCCCAAAGTCTTTTATTTAGCCTGTAGAACCCTGAATAGCTGCCTAGTTATTTTTGGCCTGCTGGGGTTATCTTCTTATCCTCAATTACATTTTTCATCATTCTCCTCAAAATAACTCTTTTAAGCATCTATATTTCCCAGTACTTTTCATTTTGGTCTTCACTGTTAGTGCACTGATCATTGCTGAATGTTGAGCACAAGCGCATGGGAAAGGTTATATAAAAGTTCTATTTCTACCATGTATTTCATTTTTTGAATTCTTTCTAACCAGAGCCCACCAAAAGATGAGGAAAATGACTATTATTTGAATGCTGTTATTCTTCACATTGACTGGCCCTGCAACATTGAAGACTAATGAGATATAATGTACTGTGCCATGGATTATGTCTCCCCAAATAGTTTGGATACTTCGATATTAA